TGGCCTCTCCCTGTCTGGGGCCGTCTATCAGCCCAATAGGGTGGTTCTGTTTTCCTCCCGAACAAGAAAGCTAGCCACGAAGCAAGCCAGCAGCGAAATCTGGCAGCTTCCTTTTCGCACGCACAGTTCTCCATACCTTCACAGTTCCTGAGGTTCAGCGTGCCTTCTCTTTCTTTCTCAGATGGCAGAGCCTTCTCTCAGCCAGCCATCTGGTGCTTCGGGGCGATGTTTCCCCTGTTTTCTAGTTCTAAATTCAAATTTGTTGTGGTAGGCTGCATTCAGGTGTATACCTTATGCTTCCATCTTGGTTTTAAGATTCATAAATCTTGCTTATCTTTTCAAAGAATCATCTCTTGGTTTCATTGATCTTTTCTATTGTTTTTTAAATTCTTTATGTCATTTATTTCTGCTCTCATCTTTTTTCCCTACCTTCTTCTTCTGGGCTTCTGTTGTTGTTCTCTTTCTAATTGTTTTAATGTGGGGTTAAATCATTTACTTGAGATTTTTCTTGCTTCTTTAGGCAGGCTATAATGTTATGAAATTCCCTGTCAGGACTGCTTTCACTGTGTCCCATAGATTTTGGGCAGTGTCAAGGAGCCTTCAGGATGGAGCTAGGAGAGTTCGCCAAGCTAATGCAGATTAAACTTTGACTGTGTGGAGGGAGGGCTCAAGATAGGTAAGTTAATGCCTGTTCATAGTGGAGGAAGATGGCTCTATACATGAAGCTATACAATGTTTCTTCCTATATATCTCACCCCCTCGAGCTTGAGTGGAATTCTTTGAACGTTTTTTAATAAATACTATAATGTGGGACCAGACTGGTTGCTGCTGAGGTCATGTGGGAATTAGGTAGGGAGGCATCTTAGGGAGTCACCAGGGTGGAGCTAGTATACCTCACCAGGCTAATACCCAGTGGGTAGAGTCCTAAATCCAGGAAAAGATGCCCGTGGGTTGTGCAGGAGGGGGATTCAATACAGGGACATTTGCAGCTGTACCTCTATCCCTCATGCTAAAATCATATAACTTAATATTTCTATATGACTCTAGGGCCCTGCTGAGCTGTCATCTCTTTGCAGGAGCCCAGAGTGGGACCCTTCAAGCCATTGTTTGTGTGCTTTTTTTAAATATATATATATATTTTTAATTGATTTTTTACAGAGAGGAAGAGAGGGGGATAGAGGGTTAGAAACATTGATGAGAGAGAATCATCAATCAGCTAGCTGCCTCTTGCACACCCCCTACCGGGGATGTGCCTGCAGCCAAGGTACATGCCCTTGACCGGAATCTGGAACCTTCCAGTCCGCAGGCTGATGCTCTATCCACTGAGCCAAACCGGTTTTGGCTGTTGTGTGCTTTTTAAGATGACACCTGGATTTTCACCAGCCTTCTGCCTCTCCTGAGTAGACAGAATCCCCACTGATTTTCACAACCATCTGTTTTGTGGGCTCTTCTTCCTGGCATTGGTGTTCTGGGTTTAGGATCCTTGTTTTGGACTGAGATCCCCTCACTATTTAAGGGGGAAGGGGGCCTCTGCAGCTCTGCTGCTGAGATATCCCTCTAGATTCTCAACTGCCACACGTGGATATGGGGCAAGTCCATTTTGTGTATCCACACCTCATACCAATATCAGCATGATTTCTTCTCTAAATCTTTGGTTGTAGAACTTCTGTTCAACAAGTCTTCAGATGGTTCTCCAAGTTTACTGTTCTATAATTTAGCTGTAATTTTTATGTCATAGGACAAAGCGAGAGTGGCTTCCTCCTACTCTGCCATCTTGATGAGAACCCAAATATAGAATTCATGGATGATGCCGGGACCGGTTTGGCTCAGTGGATAGAGCGTCGGCCTGCAGACTGAAAGGTCCCGGGTTCGATTCTGGTCGAGGGCATGTACCTTGGTTGCGGGCACATCCCAGTAGGGGGTATGCAAGAGGCAGCTGATCGATGATTCTCTCTCATCAATGTTTCTAACTCTCTATCCCTCTCTCTTCCTCTCTGTGAAAAATCAATAAAAATATATTTTTTTTAAAAAAGAATTCATGGATGATATTTTTTTTTCTGATAGCACTTTAAATATGTCAAGTCAATGCTTCTAGACCTCATGGCTTCTGATGTTAAATTGGCTATTAATCTTATGAAGGATTCCCTGTACTCTCTTATTGCTTTCAAGATTTCTTTTTGTTTTTGGCTTTCAAAAGTTTGATTAGTTTCTCTCAGTATGGATCTCTTTGAATTTGTCCTTTTTGGAATTCATTGAGCTTCTTGAAGTTTTCTTTTTTGTATGTGGACTCAAATTAATGTGACCCTTGGTTTCAGCCTGATGAATTTCCAATAGTATTGCCTCTACAGGCAATAGGTGTTCTCAGTTTCTATCTAATAATATCTTCATTTCATCTTCAATTTTATGTATAATACTTTAATTAGTAGACTTTTTGAGTTATTTTATGTTTACGGGAAACAAATGAGGAAAAAGTACAGTTTCCATATACCCTCCTTTTCTAGCTCATAATTTTTCCCATTATTAACATCTTGTACTATTTTTTAATGTGTGTTTATTGATTTCAGGAGAGGAAAAGAGAAGGAGAGAGAGATAGAGTGATCATTGATAACAGAAAATAAGTAATTGGCTGCCTCCTGCATGCCATGCCTCACACTGGAGATCGAACCCACAACCTAGTCATTTGCATTGACTGGGAATCGAACCATGACCTCCTAGTTCCTGGGTCGACACTCAACCACTGCACCATACTGGCTGGGCCATCTTGCACTATTGAAGTACAGTTGTTAAAACTGATGAGCCAATATTGACATAGCATTATTAACTAATGTTCATGGTTTACATTAGATCTTACTCTTTGTGTTGTACATTCTATTTTATATGTTTGGACAAATATATAATGACATGTATCTAATATTACAGTATTATATAAAATAATAACTTCACTTCCTGAAAAATCCACTGTGCTACACCTGTTCATTCCTCCCTCCCACCCAAAATCCCAATAAATCACTGAACTTTTAACTGTTTGCATAATTTTGCCTTTTCCCTAATGTTATAGTTTGAATCATATAGGATATATAGTCTTTTCAGATTGGCTTCTTTCACTTAAGATTTATCCATGTCTTTTTGTGGCTTGTTAGCCTTTATTATTCCATTGTTGGGGTGTACTAGTTTGTTTATCCATTCACCTGTTTAAGTATATCTTGATTATTTTCAAGGTTTGGCAATCTATATGCATAAAAGGCTAAGTGACTAGCTGACTGGCCTGTAGGTGTTATGTACACTGACCACCATGGGGCAGATGCTTAATGCAGGAGCTGCCATATGATAGCAACTTTGCTGAGTGCCTTCTCACACTCTGGGACCCTTTGGGGGATGTCTGACTGCCGGTTTTGGCCTGATCCCTGCGGGCCAGGCTGAGGGATCCCGCTGACTCCACAGATGCCCTTCAAGCCTAGGCACTGCCCTAGGTGGGGCAGGCAGGGAGGTACCACGTGGGAGGTTGGCTCCAGGGTATGTGCGGCCCATCTTGCTCAGTCCCACTGCCACCTTCTAATTAGTATTCTTTCAATGTGCACAATGTGCACAAATGTGCACTGGGCCTCTAGTTATAAATAAGGCTGCTGCAACTATTCCATGACCAGGTTTTCTTGTCAGCATGTTTTCAAGACACCTAGGAGTAATTGCTGAATTATATGATAAAATTATGTTTAGTTTTTTAATAAAGTGCCAAATTGTCTTCCAAAGTGATGTACATTCCCACATCAACTTATTTTTGTGTTTCTGGATTTTTCATACATTGGTAGATTCAGCTTGCTATTATTTTGTTGAGAATTTTGTGTTTATACTTATGGTATTATTCTTCTTTGGCTGTTTGTTAGAATTCATCATTGAAGCCATCTGGACCTGGATTTTTCTTCATGGAAAGATTTATAATTACTAATTCAATCTCTTTTTTTAACTATCTGAATTTGTTTAGAGAGATTCTTTCAAGTGCAAGGTCCCTACAGCAAACTCTAGCTGGTAGTGTTCCTGATCTGGCCCACTGTGAATGAACTGAATACAATTGCTATTGGTTGTTAACTTATATAAGTGAACAGGTAGAATAGTTTCTTGTATTAGTGATTTGGAAATCATTTCAAATATAGTCTTATATGTAATACATTTAATTTTAAATAGTTTTAAAATAAACAATGCTTATTAGCTTGTTTACCATAAACATAATAAAACTCTTTAAATAAGAATTAAAATGCCTACTAATGTTTTATTTTCATGTTTTCAAAAGTTTTGCAAGCTTTTCTTACTCCCTACCAAATATATGCACTCTAAATGGAGAAACTCAACCTCTGTTCTTCTGTTTACTACAGTGCTGTTTCTCTATATTTTTCCCTCTAAATACGAGTTTTTTCACTGGCTGTTTTTAGCATATTCTTCTCAGTGGAAATTCTGATATATGTTGGCTTGCTTTATTGAACCTATAGAACTTGACTGACTATTGCATGCCAAGCATTGCGGTAGGAGTTCTGATAGGAAAATTTTCTGTGAGAAATCATATTAGCTTGGCATATTGCATGTATATTGAAAAGAAACCCTGTGGAGAAGTATATGAAAATGTAGATTACATTCATAAATAGACTTCCAGCAGTATTAGTAATGTTTCACAATAATTCAGAGAATGGACTCACAACACAGGATAATTGGTACACATTTCCTTTTGAAATGCATATATTAAAATATCACATATGCGAGTATGTATGTGTATGTATATGTATATATGAAGGAGGGAGGGAGGGAATGTGATCTTATTATAATAACCACCAGAAATATTGCTCCTCTTTTGGCAGTTTCTGTCAGTTACATTGTGTTTTTATCTAATTTCTAGTAGAAAAACAAGAGGAGAAAATAATGGGATCTTACAAACAAGCAGAAAAATATATATGCACATAGTTTATAAAGTTCCTTAAGTCATCTTGTAACAAAGTCTCGATTTTTACTCTTAGACCAGAAGATCAATTCAGAAGTTATTAGAATGGGAAAATAACAGATTATATCACAAGGTAAGAAATGTAAGCAAGTAAGTACCCCATTTATATATTTGTATTACTGAATTGAAAAAAATGAGAATTCTTCAGGCTACAAAAGAATGGATTAGCATGCCGTATTTTCCGGCGTATAAGACGACTTTTGAAACGAAAAAAAGCCTGCTCAGATTGGCCAGTCAGAGAGGTGATCTATTAAAAAAAGAACTGGTGTTACCTTGGAAGTGGGGGTAGTCTTATACAGCGAATATATGCCTAAACCTATGTTTTAACTGTAAAATTAGGGGGGTCGTCTTATACACTGGAAAATACGGTGCATATAAGCATAACAAGTGGACGCAAGACACTGGGGGGGGCGGGTGAGGGCATATGTTGGGGGATGGGGGAAATGGGAGAAGATCAATGGGGGGGAAAAGGAGACATATGTACTACTATTTGCAATACTTTAAACAATAATATAAAATTTTTTAAAAGAATGGATTAGAGAATTAATACTTAATTTTCAATGTATATTCTTTACCAGGTATTTTTAAATGCTTTTTTAAATCTTGTACTTATTCTTGTATTGTTTTCAGTGATTTATTCAAATGTATTGGTAATAATTAGTATAAATTGATATCAAAATTCTTAACAAACTGTACTTTCTTAGCTTGCTTTACACTGGAAATTGACTAAAAGAAAATGTGAGACTAGCAATATGATGGAGTATGTAAGTATGCAATTGTTTTTTAATTAAACTATTGTTGATACCATCCAAATTGTTACGTTTTACTACATTTACCATTTGTCAAATCATCTTTCTACTTTTTTTCTCCACAGGCTGAATTTTAATCAGTTAGAACATAGAGGTTTTCTTCTACCTTCTTTAGATTTGTAACCACCATAAAATATCTTGAAAGCTAGCAATTATTTAGAGCTTAGAAAAATCTCAGCTAGTGTGCTCAGATGAAAATATTGCACACTGGCCCTAACCTGTTTGGCTCAGTGGATAGAACATCGGCCTGCGGACTGAAGGGTCCCAAGTTCAATTCCGGTCAAGAACATGTCCCTTGGTTGTGGGCACATTCCCAGTAGGGGGTGTGCAGGAGGCAAATGGTTGATGTTTCTTTCTCATCGATGTTTCTAACTCTGTATCCTTCTCCTTTCCCCTCTATTAAAAAAATCAATAAAATATTTTTTTTAAAAAAAGAAAATATTGCACACTGACCTGGCTAATGTTGCTCGGTTGGTTGGGCATCATCCCATGCACCAAAAAATTGCTGGTTCAATTTCCAGTCAGGGTACATGCTCGGATTGCAGGCTCACCGATAGGGGATGAGCAAAAGGCAGCTGATCAATGTTATGCTCTCACATCAATGCTCCTCTCTTCTCCCTTCTTCTTTCTCCAAAAATCAATAAATTATTTTTTTGTGTAAAAAAAAAAAAAAAAAAAATACAGCCTGGCCAGTGTGGCTCATTAGTTGAGGACACACCCATAAACCATGAAGTCATGGTTTGATTCCTGGTCAAGGTACATGCCCAGGTTGTGGGCTTCATCCCCAGTAGGGGTCATGCAGAAGGCAGCTGATCAATGATTTTTGCTCATATTGATGTTTCTATCCCTCTCTCCCTCTCCTTTCCTCTCTCTGAAATAAATAAAAACATATATTTTTTAAATTGCCAAAGTTTTTTTTAAAAAAACAATTATTGTTTTTTTAAAAAGAAAATATTGCACAACTTTTATCTTTTAACATAGGTGCAAACCATTGCATATGGTGATGGACACAGCTGTAATTTTCTTGAATCTTGCTTAATATAGGAACTGATTTCTGGATTCATTTGCCTGCCTTTTTTTTCTTAGCTGTTATTTTTTAGTAAAGAAACTGTAGTTTCTATATTTTTTTTACTGAAAGCTAGGCAATCTTAATCATAATATATAAATTCACATATAACCAATGTGATAAATTCAGCATCATTAATATTGAAAAGAATATGAAATTTATCCAAATTTCAAATTGTTGACATTCAGTATATATTTAATAATCAACATTCCATTTCCATTGCCTAAATAAGGATTGTTATGGTATCTTTCTCCACTTTGAATAGTTTTATGGGGGTAATGTACAAATGACCACAAATCTAAAATCTACTATTATAAATTTACATATTAAATTTATGTAAATTTACAAATATCTTAGTTTTTCATTATTATATTTTCAAACCTTAGTTTTTCATTATTATATTTTCAAACCTAATAGATTAAAAATGTTTTAATCTATTTGGACACTTTATTCTTTTTTACAAACAACTTGTAAAAGATAGTAATACTCAAGAAAATAGCAGCTTTAATAGAAAAATATATAGATGTAATATAGATGAAGGCATTTTTCTAATCCGTATAGCACAATTTTAATTTCTTCCACTTTGCTAAAAAAAAAGGGGGGGGGAGGGGGAAGGTGTGGAAGAACGTAATAAAGTATTAGGGTTTACTTTTCTTCACCTAAACAAATAGTTATTTTAAATCAGATAATAAAAACTACAGAAAGTAATTATAAGTAGTTAGCTATAGTAAGTAATTATATTTGCCAATTTGATTTAATTTCCAATGTAAAAAAATGTGGTAAATATAATAAAGAGGTAATATGCTAATTGGTCCTAACGGTGTCATAGCCACGACCAGGTTGCGGGTGCACAGGAACTGGTGAACGGGGACAGGGACAGGGACATGCGCCACCAGGACATGAGGCTGCCGCAGCGGGCGCCACACACACACACACACACACACACACACACACACACACACACACACTCTGCAGAGGCCTGTGGCGCTGCCTGGGGGGGGGGGGCGGCATCAGGATGGGGGCAGCGCCTTGGCAGAGAGTTCTCATCACTCTTGTGCCGGGTTCTGAAGGCCCGGAGAGGAAGGGAGAGCACATAGGCAACTAAGGGGTTTAGGCCAGGGGGGAGAGCAGATAGGCAGTTAGGGGAATCAGGCCAGGAGGGGGGCAGTTAGAGCCTTCAGGCAGGCTGGGAAATGAGGGCTAAGGAGCCAATGGTTCTGGATTGTGATAGGGGTCTCAGATTGGAGAGGGTGTAGGCCAGGCTGAGGGACCCTCCCCTCCCCCAATGCATGAATTTCATGCACCAGGCCACTGTTTTATATATTTCTCTTATTTTATAGTACCGGGAAAATATACTAGTAGTCCTATGAAAAATGAGTATAAATTTATGTACGTTATACTAAATGAAAATTATTATGTCAAATATTCTTATTTGTTTTTATTTTGCAGGTAATACTAATAGAATTCTTACCAAAATATCCCATATTCCGACCTGACTGAGGAATTTTAATCAGTCACTTGTGTGTTACCTGTCATTTCCTACCCTTAGTGCCTTGTAGATGATTTTGGAATGAAGATGGTCTCCTTTGCTGTGTTCAACTTATTCTTTATAATGGTAGAGTATTTTCCTCACACTTTTGTGTTGGTTTAAAAAGAAAATTTGCACATCTTTTATTTGTTGTTGTTAAATGAGGCTTGTGTTTTACACTCTCAATTTTTAAATAAATACACACATATATGTGTATATGTATAATTGCCATTAAAGATAAAACATTAGCTCTGGCATTTAAAAAAAACACAAAAACTATTCTAAGCATGCTGCCTTATGATTTTCCTACTTGCTGTTTCTAAATAGGCATCATTTTTCTAGGCTACTTCAATGCTCTGTAATCCCATATTAAGCATATATAAATAAGCTATTAGTAGCTTTTAGCAATGGTTTTACTCTTTTCTGCTTTTAAAGGACATGCAATTAATAGCACTGGTTTTGTCCTGCACTTAGCTAAATTATCACTTATGTTAGTGGATAAAATATTTAAACTCCTAAAGACTTGTAAATATTGTCTCTTTGCATAATGTACAATGTGGTATGCCATGGTTTACAGAATTTAATATTGCTCTTACTGTATTGCCAACAATTCTGCATAGATTTTAATATTATTGAAGTTTGTAAGCATCCTTTGGAATGTACATACTGTTAACATGCTGTTGTATGGCAAAGCCATAATAAGTATGTTAAAATTTTCAGCTGTAGAACAAGGCTGCCCTTTGTAATGAGTTGATTAAAATTGAAACAATTTGAGACATTCTGCCTTGCACCTGAAACCAAGAACCTGATTTTTTCCCATTTAATCCAGTAGTTCCAATTTTGTCTCCATTTCCAGCCCCCAAAAAATTCATTTGACATGTGACACATTTCACAGCCTCAGTATTCTCATCTATTTCCCTTAATGTTTCCTTTCCCTTGTTTGAAAATACACACAATTATGACTTATAAGGAGTATTTTAAGATTTCAAATGGCTTAGATGGTGTGTAGATCCCCATGAATGTCACTGTTAACCCCCTTTTGGAGTTCTGATATTCTATAATACTTTGGGAAAGAGAGAGCTAATTGAAAAACTGTACCTAAAGTATATGTAGTGGCTGAATCATAACTGATAAAATATCCTTAATCTTATTTTTAAGGATCTTTTTTCAACATTTTGATATTATAAATAAGGAAAGACAAGTATTTAAACCAAAATTTTACTTTATAAATTCACCCCATATATAGCCTTTTCATTGGTATGTGCATATTTCTCTTCACAATTAAGATAAGTGAGAGCACCACACTAATTCTTTTAGAATTTGAATTTTTTCAATATATAGGCATTATTTGTAATTCTTAGTGCTAAAAAATAAAATTACCTGGCACTGAATAATATTATATTTATTACCTTTTATTGCTTTTAGTAAAGTTTTTTAGGCAAGCATTCATCCTAGTGAAGAGAACAGTCATTTCTTCATACAAGGTCAAACGTTTTGAAGCCACTTGTAAAATGTATGCCTTCTTTGACATTCACAGTCTTACACTAGTAATAGAAGAGGGGAAAAGGAAACTCTATTTGATATGTGACTATAATTTTTGAGCAAACACTTTTTCACCCCCCTTTGTAGAGTTCCATTACCATGCCACCTAGCCATCCAGAATCTAACTTTTCATATGTTGCGTGTGTCTGCAAATATCGTGTTTCTCTGCTGCACAACTGAAGATGTATTTTTATAGACAAGGTGGAAACCTCTGAAAATGCATACCAAATGTCTTTTTTTATAGCCAAGGTCAGGTAAACATTTTATCTGTGGTTTATGTTCCGGCTGATATCATCAGGTTTATGCTTCAAACTATAACAGTTTAATACCAAAATTGATTTGCAGAATAATACAAAATTTATAATTATCACTGATAGAATAATTACTTGTAAATGTCAAACCATAAAATTTCATTTTTTATATAAAGTTAGCAGTTAGCCATGTGATGGTCATAGTAACTTTTTCTACCATGAATAAATCACTCTTGGTTTTACTCAAAGAACAGCAGAAAGTAGTGAATTGTTTCCATGATATAAATATTGAAACAGGAATAGAGTGCATCCGAAGGCGACAGAGTATAATTCAAGTTACTCTAGTATTTGTTATAAAAACCATTTGCCAATATGTATAAACTTAATTTTAAAACCTACTCTAATTGCTCTTAAATGTATTACTTTATTGATCATTATGCTGGTTGACTCATCTTATTTTCTTGATCTATTCAGAAAATAACCAGTATTCTTTTTAAATTCCTCATTTGACTGCTTTTTCAAGCTATTTGCTGGGGCTAATTTTCATTTGAATGAAAATTTTAGAATGCTTTGGGGGATGGGTTGTTTTCTTTTCAATGAAATTGGCAACAGTGAATGCTAAAATGACAGAGCACACTAGAGGTCATTAATTTCTCCCCCTGGTCTTTTTTTCTTTTCTTTTATCTTCAAGGTAGAATGTGCCTGGATATTTTCATCAACTTAGTAAAATATTTTTGTGAAAGTTGTTTTTTAATTGAAGAAAGTAAATTTTAATTTCTTTGCTGCATAATAATCTTTTATTAAACCTGCTGTGGTCATTTCCAGAGAAAATAACATGTATTTGCCAAAGTAAATAAATCTCACAAAGCTTTAATATTACAAGTTAAAACTGGTTCTTCTCTAACTTTCCTTTATGCAGCTCCATCCCCATTACCCCTTTAAGCACCTGGATTGTATATAAAATGAAATAAACTTTAATCCTTTTCAACTATTCTTTGTTCCCTTTTAACCCCTCATGTTAATTTAGGAAAGAGACCATTGTAGTCAAATGTTAGAAGTAGATGGGAAAGTGCCTTGTCTTTTTTGAATAGAATTAGCATTTATGTGAAAGGAGGCAGAATGGATGAATTGGTAGAAATTAGATTTAAAACCATTTTTTTACTAAGTATATTTCACAATCACATTATATTTCTTCTACTTGTTATTTAAAGCCTGTTTTTTTTTTCTTTTCCCCTAATCATGTGATCCATTAGTGACAAAATATTACAGAATAAGACTATCCGTCACTCACAAAACTAGTTTAATTGTAATGCTAGTGAAAGTGTAATTTAACATATTTCTAGAACAATGGTCTTGGATTGAAGCCCCACCAAAACCCAGTTAAGTACTGAGTAGACATACTATTCATATTATTATGACCTATAAATACTGTCTGATCAGTTGAACTGTTAATACTTAGTACTCTACCATTTTTAATGAAATTTATTTTTGTTTGTAATAATTGGAGTGAAGTTCTACAACATCTGTAAGCTTTTGGAAAAATAGGGTGTGTTTTTTCAAATATATGAGAGCTTTAAAATTATTAACATTTTAATTTTGCTTATACAAGTAACCCACCACTTACAAAATCAAACTTCACTAACTCACTACTACTTGCTCACTTGCTTAGAGCATCATCCCCATTTGCTGAGATTGTGGGTTCAATCCCCAGTTAAGGCACAAACAAGAATCAACCAATGAAGGCATAGATGGGTGGAACACGGGATCAATGTTTCTCTCTCTCCCTTCCCCTTCTTCTCTCTAAAAATCAATAAATTAAATATATATATATATATATATATATATATATAAAAACTCACTACTTGAATAATATTTCATTAGAATTTATTTTATCTAGAATAATATAGAAATTATATCTTTAATGGGAGCGGTTTCACATAGTGGAAATATTTTTGCTAATTTGATGGTAAAATGCTCAAATTTATTGAAATTAGGTCCTCCTATGCCTTTAAAATTCTACTTTAAAAATCCATTTTTCAACAATTGTCAAATTGTTTGGGTTCCTTTAAATGGTGAACTATAGGAAAATTTTCCACAGAAAATATATTGGTTTAGTAACATTACCTGTTTAGGTAATATGTGGTCTAAAAATAAGGTTGATGATGGCAACCTGAGAATATGTTTTCTGTGGATTTTGTCAGATTCATACTATATGAGGAAATTATCTAATTTTATGGGCTTCAGGAAAGTCACTTAAATTACATGTCAATCTCTTTTTCTGTAAAATCATGATGTTGAACCTAGAGCTAGACAGAAAATGAGAAATCACCTAATCACATTCTGTGATTTTAGGAATCCTTAAGAAATTTTTACCCTACAGAATCTCAGAATGATTTTTTTCTTGGATCTACTATGCTTTGTGAGAACTCCCACAGTGCCTTGCATGCAGTAAAAGTTTGATTCACCAACTGGCTCCTAGCTGGTATGTATTCATATCACACAGACTTAAAGAACCTGATGCTTGCTAAACCTCATTCCTATATGGGGGGAGGGCGGGGGGACAATGGAGGAGGGTAAGGACACATATATAATACCTTAATCAATAAAGAAAAAAAACTAAAAAAGAATTAATATAATTTTCCTAGGAACTGAGCACAGGTCTGTGGTGTTAGCCTATGTGGAACCTAACTACATAGTTGGTATCCAGACAAAAATTATAGCTGTAGCAACAATGAAGATATAGGAGGACCTACTTTAACATTAATGTAAAAAGTTTCATATCCTATCCATTATCTGTTTCAGTGACTTATTAAGCCCCACATCCTCAAAAAGATCAGTTGGAATAAATTAATAATATTGAATGGAAAGGAAAATGATATGAAATTCAAACCCAAGTCACTTCTGGTTGATTCAGTTCTTAGCTCTGCTGCTTAATTCCTCTGTACCTCATGTCCTCATTGTATAAGTGAGGACAATGTTCTTGTTCTACCTCACAGGGGAATTGAAGATTTTTTTCATATATTAATGTGTTTTCTTAAGTTGACTGGAAGATATACTGGACATCATAGTTTTGTATTTTTAAATAAATTGCTTTAAATCTGTTATGGTTTCTCAGTTAAACACTGTAGAATGAATGTTGCAGTAAATCTGATTTTCAGTAGTAAATTTTATCAATCCCC